GATCCACCTGGCTCTGCCTCCCGAGTGCTAGGATTAAAGGCGTGCGCCACCACTGCCCGGCTCATTTTTTTTTTTTTAATTTATTGATTGATCTCAGTTGTAAACATCAGAAATATCTTGCTAAGGGTGAGCACTATGACTCAGTACCGAAAGGTAATGGCTGGCGACCTGAGGATGATCCCTGGAGCCCTCATAAAAGTGAATGGAGAAAACCGACCCTACAAAAACTGTCCTGGGAACTCCACATGCTAACTCCCCCAACCTCCACCCCAACCCCGCTATGTACACACACACACACACACACACACACACACACACACGAACACACACATAGAGAAAAATATTTAGAAACACCATGAACTTGCTGCAAGCGTGGACCAGAAGGCTATCTGAGCAGCACCCAGAGGCTTTCTGAATATTCACATTAGCGATGACAGAGATGTAGTCATGGCAGCGACATAATCCTTTTAAGTCTTTCCTCGGGAAACTGACGAACATCGCAACCTAAGGAATCGGTGTTAGAGCTCCCTCTGCTGGCACGGCCGTGAATACAACAGGCTGTCCAGTCTGAAAACAAGTGGAACAGACCAAACAACCCAATCGTTCGTTTCTTACCTCCTGCCCACAAAATCTGAAGCGGCTACATTTTTTTTAATGGATTTTAAATTTTTATATGGATTTAACTTTTTTAGTTTATTTTGTTTTTTCTTTTTCTTTCTTTCTTTCTTTTTTTGAGATTAGATTTTACTACTTTGTTCGGTCTGTCTTGAACTCAGGGTCTCAAGTGATCCTCCTAAGTGGGTAGACACCACTGTGCCTGGCCATAATTTTTTTTAAAAACTCATAAATTGGCCATAGTGAGGGGCACATGCCTTTAACCCCAGTACTCAGGAGGCAGCAGAAGCAGCCAGACTTCTGTGAGTTCCAGGCCAGCCTGGTCTACATAATGAGTTCTAGGACAGGCAGAGCTACATAGTGAGACCCCCATCTCAAAAACAAAACCAAGTAAATAAAAATGACTTTGCAGGAGACCACAGCTAAATTTAGAGTGAGGCAACCTTGTTTATGAACTGCTGGCAATGGTCTATGACAATACACATTCTGTTCATGAATTTATATTGTGCATAAAAAGCTGTGTGTTGGGAGAGGGTGACTAGAAACATAGGCCAGCGGTTAAGAGTGCTGCATATTGCTGTTGCAAAGGACTGGAGTTCCAATCTTGGCACCCACCCGGCTCAGATCGCAACTGCCAACTCCAGGGAGAGCCAATGTTTCAGGCTTCCAAGGCATCAGCACTCACATGCACACAACCACACACATACACATAATTTAAAATAACACACATTTTTAAAAGGGGTAGGAAGACCTCTGAATTAGAGGGCAGACTGATCTACAGAGTGAGTTCCAAGACAGCCTGGGCTACACAGAGAAACAAAACTCTGTTTTGGTGGTGAAAAAAACAAAAACAAAAACAAAACAAAAAAAAACCAAAAAAATCAAAACCAAAAACATACCCTAATAAAGAAGCAACGGTAAAACCCAGAGTAGTTCAATCAAGTAGTTAAAAGTGTTAACATGTGGAGGGTGTGTTTCCACACAGCACAGGGTGACGTTAAAAGTGGCCGCAGTGGGATGAGGAGTGGAGACGAATCCACGTTTTTCTGTCTATACAATTCCAGTTTCACAAAGAAGTAACTGCAAACAGTGGACATCCACAAAAGGCAGGAGTCAAAGATGCTCAAGAATTCAGAGCCACATGGGAGACGACAGGGAATCTAAACAGTTTTCTCAAACTTCACTACATCTTCTGAAATTTCTGTAATACTTGTGTATTACTTTCGTAACAAAAAAAAATGTAAGCAATACAAAAGTCAGTCAGATTTGAGTTTCATAACCATCATGGTGCTGAATGTAGAAACTGAATACCAGGTTCCACTGAAATCTGAGGCTGGGGAATAATGAAATATGTTGGGGCTTTTGTTATCATGTGTATCTGTGCATATGTAGGTACCTCTGTGTGTGTGTGTGTGTGTGTGAGAGAGAGAGAGAGAGAGAGAGAGAGAGAGAGAGAGAGAGAGAGAGAG